GCGAAAATTGCACACTACATTAGCCGTAACAAGCGGTCGGTCGGTCGGCTGTGGCAGAAAGCTCATAACTTTCACCACTCGGATCCACTATGTTTTAGAATATAATATTGTGTGTATGACACGGCTCACGTGTATTCTTTGTTGTGTACATTAATTTCATTTCTAAAATTTGAACGCTTTTACAAATAAAAGTGGATTGAAAACGGCGCGACCTAGTGGGCAACTCCATAAGTTCTCATAGTAAAACGTTTGTGATGTATTACGGAAATTTCTTCTAAATACCGCTACAAAACGAACAGTTTTATCAATTGTGTGTGTACCAAATTATTGATTGATTCGGCAAATTATACAATAATATATTTTTTAGAAATTGGGCCGTAGGAAAAATAACGATATTGTATATTATATTAAATTGATGATAAAACGTTTACGGAAGTTGTCGGGAAAAAATGTAAAAATTTGCTTGAAAGTTTTACAAAGACATTGACGAATAATCAGAATATTGCCTATAATCCATCACGGGTGTTATAATGGACGGCGCGAAAGCCGTTGCGAAACTTTGATGTCGGAAATACTTGGGTGGGAGTAAAATGAACAACAAAGGTTTTTCTTTTTAATTTCGAAACCTGTCCGGGTGATCGTCGAATTGAAAGATGTAATCATCTGCCGCGTAGGAGGGTATTATTATTATTATCGGGGGCAACGTTGCGGAATCGAGTATTATCCTGGAATGGATAGACGTGCAATTTCTTATTGCCACCAATACAAGAACCTGTCAAAATGAATTTGTTTAAAAAAAAAAAAAAATACTCAACCGAACAATATTTGAATGATAATAGATTGAAAATGTAAAAACGAAATCAATAGTGTAAGTAACACCCTATCACAAATTTACACTTGCAGCAGTACTTGAATTGTTTTCGATTCATATTAATTAACGGAACAATAATTTGTTTAACAATTCCTAAAACTATATAACGCTCTAGAAACGTCGGTAATCAAGTATAAGTATACAGGGTGTCAGATTAATTATAAGTTCATCAAAATAGCTAGGCATCAGGTATATAGGCTGGCATAAAAAACGGCGTTCTGCGGTACAGGGGGGTTTGTCAGTTCGGTAGTAGTATAATATGTTCATAAATTGGCGGTGTGGAGAGTTAAAAATAAATGGTTTTTTTTTTTTAATGATATTTGCATGAAGTGCCAATAGCGCGCGTTTTATCACACCCTAGGGAGAAATGTCGAGCGACCGCGCTGTGTTGGTCATAATACAGTATTTAATATTTATATTCAAACTCGAATAGCGTCCACGTTATGGTAGGTAGTGTTTTACAAATGTCCAGGTGCAAAACATACGCTTTTTAATATCATACTCGGTGCATCGAATCGATAATTGATGCATAGATCTCTCGACCCTCGATCACACACAAAACTTGCCTGCATCAATCACTGAACTCAACTTAATATGGAACGCGCATTCAGATTGAAAAATATTCCTACCTGGGAGGCGGCCATTTTGTGTACCGATTTCATGGAAAGTAAAAATTTCAAACGTGGTAAATTTTCAGAAACGGAGTTATCATCATGTTATCATCACCTAGATGATAACGTGATCATGGACAAAACAATAACAGCTGTTCACAAAATGGCAGCCGACTATTAATAGACAACACGCGTTCCATATTATATCGAGTTCAGTGGAAAAAACCCACAACTACCTTTGTGAGATTCTATACCTTGTCTCGTTAACAACCCACGCGTTTACTCGTATATATTTACATGGCTGACCGTCGATACGGTTTTGTTTCGTACCCACGCTAATGCATCATACGGTGTAATCAGAATGTTGTTTTGCTGGTTACTCATTTTTACCAATCACAATATTATTATAGTGTCTAAAAACGTAGTCATCTAAAAAACCAAATCCCTTCGCCCTCTGGACAGGGTTAACCTGACCGTTTGGCCGACGGTGCGTTCAAAGCAACAATAGCTCGTCTAACCTCTAATGGCCAAGACACTTTGACGGTTGTATACAGAACTAATTGATCACGACCTGGGTTTGTTGATACACGCCAGACCAATATAATCCACGCACAGAGTTTTAGTGGGACTAACGGATTGCAACCGTGTGCTTGATTGAAGTCTGTTTGCATAATTTAGACGACCACGATAGGGCAAATGAGCAAATCCAATTCCAATGAGGTTTCTCGGCATTAGCTATTCTCGTCGCCTTGCAGTAGGCAGCACATCTACTATTCATCTAAATTAAACCGATCAAGTACCTCGGTACACTATTTTTTGATATGGCTAATAATGTTTGATATATTAATCACTATTAATCGTGGGAAACGCATATTTTTATAATGTTTACTGCTAATCACTACAAAACTAAGGCTACTTTTGTTAGTTAAATATACTGCCGAAAGGCGATAACACGATGTCAAGTATGCAAAGTATTAATAAAACATACTATGTAATAGAAGTTTGCAACATATAGTGTAATACACAAATTTTATATAACAAAAAAAAATGTAATTATTACTAAATCTTTGCAGATTTTTTTATTTTGAACCGGTCTTTTGTTTTTTATAACTTAAGGTGTTTGTATTTTGCCCATCTCTGCGTACACCGTGGAAATGTGGTAATTATCATCTCCATCCCGTGTAATTGGCGAAAATGTACAATAGTGAAATGAGATATAGTACATAATATGAGCAAGCAGTTACACCTATATATACCTACCGATTTCAGTCGTCCCGTAGTAAACGTTAGTGACACCACCCTTAAAGGAACATTAATTTGGTAACTTTAGACCGTACGTCTTCCACACTGCTACTATATTCCATTCAGGCGCACACTAAACAGTAATTAAACGGACCACCATAATATGTGACAACGACTGATGTGTCCCCCGGACATCTTGACACAACGTTTATCAGCAAGAGTATGCCAAATTAGTTGTATTCTTTTTTTTTTTTTTTTTACTGTAATTCATTTGGGTTGAAAGCTCCCTTGGAATTTTACTGATAAACTTTACTTTCTTGAAGCCTGTCCGGCAAGGAAACGCGAGACGTTTGGTGCAGACCAAATTGAAAGGGCCCGGGGGATATAATTTACGATTGGCTGACTATATCGAGACGTTAACGTCAGCAGCTGTGTATCGGAAATACATAAATCCTTTAGATATCACTTGTACATACCCGGAGATTACAAAGAATAATGAGTGTAATAATTTTGGCCGTAAACCGTCCGCAAATTGCCCGATAAAAACCGACCGGACACATTGGCCGGCAGAGCGGCTTAAGTTATGTGGGCGTGGAAAAACTATAATATTCTAGCATAGCTTAGGGGCGATTCTATTTATTGTATTTAAACTAGGAAATGAAAAATGGCTCTCTGTGTGTGAAAAAAGTGGAACGTAGTATTCCCAATCATGACTTGCATTTTGTAAAACAATAATAGTTGTACAACTTGAGCAAGAGCAAAACATTATCATAAATTTCCCAAAGCACCGGCAAAAATATTCAGTAGATGATTATCCAATGACACAAACTGACTATTTTTATGTCTACAAAAAGATTTATATTTAACACTAAATGTCCGCATCGAAGCGTTCATACTATAAAAGTGATTTGTACCACATGCACTTCGTCTTGGGCACAACTCTTTTGTGTACTCGACACTTAATGAGGTCGAATGTAAAGGTCAATTGTCCTGAATTAATACGAACAGAGCAACCGTCTGCTGCAGCAGCAGAAATTTGTCAAAATCAAATGCACGCTCTCCGACGATAAATGTTCTCAGTTTTTACAGACTTAATTAACCGTTTCTTTCGTTTATGAATTTATTACATTTTATACCAAAATCATCGCTTTGATGGTAAAACTGCAGAAATTTGGTAACTTTTAGCGGAGAAGAAGGTATTTATAAAAAAAATATATATCTAATAATTAAAACAATATTTTTTGAGAAAAGTAAAAAAAAAATGTATACATATATATATATATATATGATTTCAATTTAATTTGATACATATCAGGTCGCTCTATGTGATATGTCATTATTTATTAACACTGTAAGTATACTTTTCTAAAAAAATAACCACGTTGAAGCAAAACAGTGTTTGTTAGTTTTTTTAAATTTCAACATTTTTACTTGTTATTAATTAAAAATCTTTTTTGGTTTTGTGGAAAAAGAATAATCGTTTTTCCTGTAGTTTTCATTGATTTGAACATTTTTAATTGAAAATTCTTTTTTTTTTTTTTTGGAAGATTCATTTTTTTAATGACGTTAAACGTTTCCCACGATTTGTACGGTTTCATTTAAAAAAAAACCACTTTTTTTTTCCCCATAAATATTGACACATTGAATTGATAATATTTATTCTCAGTCGATTTTATTAAGGAAAACTGTTTACAATAATAAATTCTGAGATAATTTGAGTGTAGTTCTTGGAGGTCTTGGCCTCATAATATTATTGTGCCACTGGTGTACAAACTCAATACATTTAAATGATGTACATGTACATTCTACAATCAAACATTTTTTTTATTTATTGCCAGTGTATGTATTAGTGTTTACACTCAGTAACACGTTTTTTGAGCGCTTTCAAGATCATCTTCGATTGGGAATAAAAATACAATTTTTCTCTGAGCGTTTAAAAAAGAAAATTTCAATTATTTTACAGCACTCGTCCAATCCGATAAACATAATATTTATTAATAATATTATCGGATCAGTGTGTGCACTGTACAGTGTACATACAGTAATATATTATATATTGTTATCACACTGTACCTTAGTAGAGGCGACCACCGAGAAGATAAGGCACTTGTTGAATGTGTGTATTTTTTTTCTAATATTCATTTCGAATTCGTTTTGATTAGTCAATAATAATTGTCGGCGGCGGTCGCTCATGGTACATATTAAGTAGTGACGTAGGCCGGGGACCAAGGCTAACTTGTGAGTATACACACACTCAGAATATTACTATTAGTATTATTGCTATTTATTAATTCACAACGTGTGAATGTGTGTGCATAGTGCAACAGCTGCTGTACTATGGCGAAGGCCCGTCGACATTAAAAAAATATGATTCAAATTGATATCCAGTTTTTTTTTTCCTATAATTTAGTGTTATAACATTGAAAAAAACGGACTCTGCGGACCTTTGCAAAGGACCATAGCCGCCGCCTTTATCGAGGTGAGTCGTTCAATGACTTTATTATTATTATTGTATTTTATTTTGTTTCCGGGTCGGATTTCGGTAAAATATTATTTCATAAGGTCCAAACAATAATTATTACTATTAGCTATTGTGTTCCCATAGAACGGTATACCGGGATGAGATTACCGTTTTACAATATGTAATATATGTAATATTATATTACAACCGTCACCGGGGAAAGGGGAACCCGTGTGTTTGTAGATAATAGCTGTTATTGATGTTATACCGACCGCTTTTATTTGAATAAAATAATATTTGTTTTTAATAGGTATGCTATGGCCTCTAAAAAACAGACCCGAAAACTTTGGATTGATACTAAGAAAAAAGAATGCTAAGAAATGCTTACGGTATTAAAATACATAAAAAAAAAAAACAGGAAAAAAGAAACCTCGATAAGTGTACTCTAGTCAATAACAATTATATATATATATATATATATATATATATATACACTTAATATTTGTCCAAATAACACATCCGAGTACTTTTTTCCGTCCAAAATTTGTTATATGTTTTTTATTGTTGAATTTTTTGTGTATTGTTTGAAATAAAATATAAATTAACTAAAACCGCATCCGAGCCGTGGTGTATGTAAGCCTTTAAGTAGGGTTTTCATTAATCGTTTAATCTAAATTATCTTGTTGACAATTTAACCATTCGCTCGGATGATATTAAGAAACTACAAAAATACACTCTTCGTTATCCTAAACGTTTTGTCTAATCGAGAGGTTTTTAATAGGGAAAAAAACAACTCACCGGTTACAGATATTGGTCTTCGCTTATTCCAATATATTTGCCCATAGCCTGTAACAAAAAGTAAAAATAAACGAATTATTATTTAGTATTTGAATATATATTATTTTTTTTTTTTTGTAGTCTAAGAGTTTAGTGTGCCAATGAAAACAAGACAAATGGAACGAAACGTGCTAGTGACACTATTGGCAACAGCGGCAACCGTTCATTGCGTTTGTTCGTACAATATACTGGCAATATTCCCGTTCAGTGGGAAAAGCCATTTTGTCATGTTCAAAACGATATCCGAGGCGCTGGCTGCGAAGGGACACAACATTACGGTGGTGAGCCACTTTCCGAAATCTTCCCAGAGCAGCCACGCAGAAAAACAATGGAAGGGCAACTACATAGACTACAGCATAAAAGACACTGTGCCGGTGTTTGAGAACATCACCATCGAAGAGGTTTTCGGCAACGGAATCTTCAGAGAGATGCTAATCATTCTCGACGACGGCTTGGACAACTGCAACGGAGTAATGTCTTCGGGTCGTCTGAACGACTTGATGAACGCCGGCGCCAAATACGATCTCGTCTTGGTCGAGGTAAGCAACGAATAGGACACATCTTATAAAAACAGAAAGGCTCAATAATTCAACACTAGGGCAACTGGTCTACGGAAATATTAAATAAAAACTAGTTACTCTTGACTTCATAACAAAATTAAATCGTTGACATGTTATCTCTTATCACTTATTCTATTATCTTACCTCTAATCTCTTAACTGTTATCTGTTATCACTTCGTTCCACAGATATATATAATAAACTAGATTGCTAACTAGAGATAAGGATTGAAGCCGACGCGACGGTCCGCAATTCTGGTGGGATTTATGTGTACTATCAATGCATATAATATATATATCTGTATGTATTATTATATCAATATTATATTTATGTGATTGTTATAAGCATATATTGTTCTCGCGTGATAAGGTTCTAATTTCCACTAAGATGGCGGAAAGTGGCTGCTTTAATCTTCTTTATTGGTGGCATGTACAGTGAGCAATCTAGTTTATTATATATACGCTTCTTTCTTATCGCTAATCTCTTATCTCTCACCAATTATTACTAATCTCTATTCTCTTATCACTTGTCTCTTATCATTTATCTGCTATCACGTATCTCTTATCGCACAAAGGTAATAGCGTGACGCGAAAATGGCGACATGAAATTTCTCGTACTCGGTCGCCAATAACATAACCGTGTTAAAAAAAGAAACAAAGGTAATTGGACGTCTTCGTTGACCATTGGCGGAGATCAAGAGGAGGGGGGGTGCTTGGGATACTGAAAACCTTAAAACTTAAAATTAGTACTTCTCGAAACGTAGTTACACTTATTTTCGAGTGAAAGATTTATATTGGAATAAAAATAAATGTAGTCCTAATTTTAAGCCCAAAGGTTCTGTCTCAAATGCATTTAATACCTTTGATATTTTATTTGCAATGCCTTTATTTGTCTCGAGACTGTCTGACCTGTCAATAACCACGAACTAGAAAACCGCCTTTAATTAAAAGTAAACAAACGTTCAATATTATTTACCAATCAATGGTCTCACAGACCTACGCCGGTGTAATATTATGTTGTAGCTCATGGTAAACAATCGAATAAGTTTAATGTCTACTAAAAAAAAAATATTAATACAGATTTTTAAGTCCCCAAGTGAAAATATAATTATTTTTTGCAACAATTTAACTATTCGAGGACTTTTCAAATTAAACAGACTGCCGGTTTAAAACGAATGTATGAAGTTCCCAAAGAGAACTTAAAGTTATGACTTTTTTTATTACAAAAAAAAAAATTTACAGTTTTATATCACAAAAAAAAAAAAACAATAAAATGCAAGTGACGTGTCTGGTTAAGTTTAAAAAGTTAGTGTTTTTATAGATCTATATACGGGATGACTCCCGAGGATTTATTATATGATATTCAAGTATTATGATGATAAAATTTTAATTAATTTTCATTATCGGTTTTTTTAATTAAAGTGTGCCTAACTATGGATTTGACATGATGTAAGCAGAAATTTTTTAACATGAATTTAATTGTGAAAATAGGATTTTTATTGATACAATTGTGGTTAGATAGTTTTATTTTTTATGATTATCCTGGTTTGTTTTTATCGTCCACTCCCTGTAAAATAATAATCAATAACGAGTTTCTTCACTGTGCAGAATAACCAAAAATCTCAATTTGGCTACATTGTTTTAAATTGGAAAAAAAAAATATATATATATATATATTAAACGCAATATTTTTATTAGCAAAATCGTTATTTTAATTTTTTCGAAATTATTTATTTTTAAAAATGTAAACTATTTCTTGTTCAAAAAAAAAAAAAATGGAAAGGCAAGAAAGAAATAAAATTTGTTGAATATTATACTACTTGAAGAAAATATATAAAAATGTACCCGTTGTGAAACATTTACATTGGCTGTTAACCTATCAACATAACAATGGACTTCGTGGTATAAATAAATCATTCTTAACAATACACAGGTTAATGGGGTAAATACTATTAACAGCTCGAGTTAATTATTGTACTGCACACTAATATACCTAATAATATTATCCGGTTGACTTCAGAAACTTTTAGACACCGACACTTTCTATTGTGCGTCCATTAACAACTCGAGGGAAAAACCGTTGAGAGAACAAAACACAACATTTGCAATTTGCATAGAAAGTCGTTGCTAATTATTTTTTTGTTTGCTTAAATTATTTTTTAAAACGAATTTTCCCGTTGTTTGTACAAGCAAACTCGGTTGTCCGGAAAATAATAAAAAAAAAATCCCTCAGGGCCAAAAATGAATTACTTTTTATTGTGTATTTTTTTTGTAAAAGAACTAGTGAACGGTAAAACTACCTACTAAAGTCTTTGTTGAACCTAAGTTCAGTATGCGGCCAAAGCTGAGAGGCTCGATAGAAATAAAGGGAGAAATTGCGTTTGTATAGAGCCAACAAAAGCTTTTAACGTTTACCACGCTGATGGCCTAATGAATTATTTTCAATATTGCGAGTCGTCAAAATCAGTTTTGTTTTTTATATTATTAGTGCCGCGTTTATTTCGTAACTAAATTAAGAAAGTTCTACATTTATTTGTTTTAACCTTTCTAAAGTAACGGGGGTTGTTTTGTTGGTAATTTCAAAATTGTCACCTCTGTAACAGCTACTGTGGTCTGTAGTGAATATTAATTTTTTTCAGATTAACCTTCCAGTCGAAAATGTTTTTATTTTTTTATACCGATAATTATTTCGATGTGAATCGCTTTTTCTCTTAAGTCTATTTTTTTTCTCTCTTAAACAAATTGAAAAACTCTAATTATATAAATGTTTACATAAAAGCGCTACACACTATTCAATTAGGCCAGACCGAACTCGTACCTCCTAACCTAACCGAATGGGATAATAATTATTTTTGCTGTCACGATTTCATTTGGAGTTGCACATAATCTATCAAACGCATAAAACTACAATAGGAACGACAACGGAGTAATAAGTTTTGGATTTCGTGCAAAAAAAAAAAATAATAATAAATAATAAAAAATGTATATAAATAAAGGTCTAACGGTGCTATTGAGTTGGGGACGTCCGTAATAAAGAAAGACCGACGAGCAGACAGATTGTACGGAATGGAAAAAAAGAAAATAAAATCACAAAAGAAAATATTATTATTATTATTTTTTTTTTTTTGGAAAACATTAAACGAAATTACAAAGTAGGATAAAAGTGTGGTTCGCGCGGTGGATTTATTTTTGTTCTTTCTAATTCGACATGCAAAAATGTAATCTTAATAAAACATTATTATTATCATATTACCTCGTTAAAAATACAAAATATTATACAAATGGCGAATTCAACACATACCCTGGGGTGTCAGACATAAGTGTGGGAAGGGCGAGCAAGCGGTATCTTCCCTCCCCCCTCTAGTTTCTCCGAGCCTATCCTAGCATTACAAATACAATATGTACGGCTGCGAAAAAAATTACAAATGCAAATTTACAACTAGCAATAACGCTATATAATATTATAATGTTCTGCTCTAAGATTGCAATCATATATCATATATATATATTGACATTTTATGTCTTTACTTTGGCACACAACCGGAAAAATCGACAGCGTTACCAACAAACCTAACGAATATGTATCCTTATATCCTTCTATATCCTTATATCCTTAATCCTTTTATCCTTTTATATCCTTCTATATCCTTTTATCCTTATACATCTTCTATATCCTTTTATCCTTATATATCCTTGTATATCCTTGTATATCCTTTTATCCTTATATATCCTTCTATATCCTTGTATATCCTTATATTCTTTTATCCTTATATATCCTTTTATATCATTATATTATTTTATCCTTATATATCCTTATACGTCCTTATATTCTTATATATTCTTCTATATCCTTCTATATCCTTATATATAATTAAAAAAACATAAAATGTCATCCGTGGCTCTATCTCCAAATACATCTCCACTTCCATTTTTTTATACATCATGATACAATAGTGACAATAATAATAATTATTGATAGCGAGCGCGTTATAATAATAGCTAATAATTCATTAACCGTCCAAGGCGTACACAAGTTGTTTAATAATAATTATTATTATGCGTAACAGTTTAATGAGCTGAATTATTGACAGTAGCCGATGATGTGCAAAAATAGCAGTGCACAAGGTCGCTGGCAACAAACGACAATCGCCGCCAACAGCAGCTATCTATTTTGTACAGTACACTATGCCTGAACGGAATATTATTGAAAACTTTAGTAAAAACTAAAACAATAATAGAATATCAGTAAAGTATTTTTTTTTTTATCTCATTAAGTAACTCGAGCGAGGGCAGTAAAGCTAAAGGAAGTAGCGAAAAAAAAACCGCAGCCAACTAAATGACTAGTCTTGGACTTTATCCAGCAAACCCCCCGTCCTTATCAGCTGTATCCGCCCTGAATCGTCGACAGGTGAAACCCAAACCTTTGGCGGACAATAATAATAATTTATGCGGTAAACTCGGTTCACCGGATTCCGGACATTACCGTTGTGGTTTCCCTTGGAGCCGGAAAATCTGATTTCCTAACGCTATCGGCGGGGTAAGGTTGTATTGTACACTTGCAGTATGCGACTCCTCGGTGAGACAATAGATGATAATCGGTTTACCCGTGCAAATATTTCAAAAGCTATAACTGTTAACTGTGCCGGCGGCCAAAAGTGAAAATCCGTTGAAACCAAACTCTAGACAATGACAATTGAAATTAATAGTTCATATCAGTGATACTGAAACTAGTAGCACAGACTACATGAAAACTGATAACTCGGCGTGTAAACAAAAGCCACGATTTCACATGACTCAAAATGAAATCAGTGTGACCGCACATTCGGGAATAACATTTTATTATAATTTCACAGATTAGACGAAGCGAAATTATCATAACTGTAATATATAGTCGGTTATCATTTAAACCGTATGATTGATAAGGAGTTTGTACAATAACATGCACAATAATTTATCCTAATCCATGTTAGCTACACTGATATCTTCGCGTGTCCCTAATCAGTCTTATTAAAAACCTCCTTTGTTTTCGGCCATAGATATGTGTATACAATAAACTAGATTGCCAAGTGTACATTTTCTGCCATTTTTGTGGTAATTAGAACTTTATCACATGACAATATGCTTATAACAATTATAAGTTAAGTTGATAACAGTTAATCACAAATATATATACTTTATTTTATACACGAAAAATGGCGGACGTCGACTTCAATTCTTATCGCTAGATAACAATCTAGTTTATTATATATATATCTGCAGTGATAAGAGATGTGATTATAGATAAATGATACGTGGTAAGTGATAAATTATCGCATGAAAATATGCCTGTAATAACTATAAGTTAAGTTGATATGACAGAATCACAAATATATATATATACATTATTTCATACATACATAAATCCCACAAAAATGGCGGATGTCGACTTCAATTCTTATCACTAGTTAGCAATCTAGTTTATTACATACAAATCTGGGTTTTCGACCGAGTGAGCTATCTGTTATTATAATATAGTCTGTGATAGTACATGTTTGTTTCTTTATAATATTAGTTCTGTGATTGTAATGGATAATTATTGATATTTTTGCACTGGTCATATTATTTTTCCGTCTTTCGCAGGTATTCAACACCGGGTGCTTTATATCGGCCGGAAGCCGATTCGGAGCTCCTGTGATTGGGGTGACTTCGACCAGCTTTTATCCTTGGTACGGCGGTTTGGTCGGCGACATGATAAACCCGGCTTACGTGCCTGTCAATCTGTTACCGTTCACCAGCCAAATGTCGTTTATCGAGAGACTCATCAACGCTGCAACGTTAACGCTCATTCGCATCGTGTACGCGTTCAAGTACGAACCGGAGGTCGGTAATTATTATTTGCACAACAATTATTGATATATTTTATTTATATTTACATAGTGATTAAGGTGACCGACGACGTTATTGTAGTTGTCAAGGGGTTTTCCCGACAATGATAAAGGATTTATTATTTTCGGGCATGTTTTTAACATGGATAGTACGTTATTCGGCTGGATACAAGAAATTTCATGTCGCCATTTTCGCGTTACGCTTTTACTTTCAGGTGATAAGAGATAAGTGGTATGACAAATGGAAAAAGATAAGTGATAAGAGAATAGAGATTAGTAATAAATTATGAGAGATAAGAGATTAACGATAAGAAATGTATGATAAGAGATAATAGTAAATAGATTAGAGATAAACGATAAGAAATATATGTTAAGAGATAAGTGATAAGAAATAACATATCACCGATTCAATTTTTTTCCGTGCAAAGGAGAGAATGGCAAAAATTATATTTATTTATTTTGAAAGGTTATCTTCGTCGATAGCATTGATAATTTCTTATTGTTATTCTTTTAAAACATATTCAAACAAGTCTGTTCAATATGTCAGTCTGGTGTATAACTTGTCGGTTTGCAGGCCCAAGCGATCGTCGACAAACACCTGGGAAAGTCTAATCAAACCATTAAAGAAAGCATGGAAAACGTTAACATGGTGATAATGAATACACATTTTGCGTTGGGCGACCCAAGACCTGTGCCACAAGGTATCGTCGAAGTCGGCGGATGCACGTACAAATCGCCCAATCCATTGCCACAGGTAAGAATTTTTACCGTTAGCACTGACAATAAATACAAAACACTTGTTTTTAAAGATTAATCTTAAGACAATAATATAAAAAATTCAGCAGTCGCATTACCCAAGAGAGATTCAAATCATTAAATGCATTTACCAATATGTCTTGAAGATACTTCCATACATAAAAGTCGGCAGGTAAAGCAGTATTCTAAAGGTGTTTTTGAATTACCAAAAAAAAAAAAAAAACGTCAATAAAGTAACAAACAGATACTTTTATATTCACATTCTATGTTGAAAATGGTCCTTTGATACTTTTTTTTCTTATAAATTCTTCTTCGTGTAAAATTTGCATAAAAAATTGTCACGCACATAAAATATATTCTATATACGAGAAACTAGTCTTGCATATCAAATACAATATTCAAACTATTCGAGGCAAATTTTTAAGGTACTCCTCTTGCAGGTAAAACAGTTTTTTTTTAATTTTAACATATGGAAATAAAGAAAAGAAAAAAATGTATTCACCGTCTAAATCTAACCTGAAAATTGTTCAAATAACGATTTTCGACTGGCTTAACTCAACGCAGTAGGGCCAAATTACAGGGTCGAAAATACCGTACACACTATTTACAATAAAAACATGAAGCGATAAGAATTACTGATAACAAGTAGTTGATAAACGATAGTCGATGGCGGTAATATTATAGAGACGTTTGATACAATTTCACAGACCACACTGTATTGACCACAACAGACAATTTTTTTTTCTATTTTTGGTCACACTGAACTGAGATTATTAAAGTTAACAGCTTACATTTTTCGGTTTACACTGAACACTGAACGCTGAAAGCTGAACAAGATCTGAAAGTATATTATAATTTGTAGTATATATTCTCCAACGGAAATTCAGTCATTCAAAAAAAAAAACATAAAATAAATCACCCAATTCGGTTTTCGCTAAATTAAACAAGTCCAAAGAAGCGGATTTGGACGAGAAGTTTTTATTTTGCATATAAAAATTATTTTCCGCCGACAATAAGAAAAATGGCCTTTGACGCAGCCCGATCGATTTACTTACTCGGTTTATTGTGTACACCCTCTTTGGAGGCGCAGCAAGATTGACGGCTTACTGGTAATGATAATAACACTGTACAGATATTGTACATCTATTGAACTCTGCCCGGAGATACTCGGAATTTTCATTATAATATAAATAATATGCCACGGACTTAAAATATTAATCTTGCCCGATATGCGCTCATTCGTTTCTCAAGAACACAATTATGTTGCAAACAAATATCGCTTTAACCGAACCGTTTATAATAGGAAAATTGAAATATGTTTTTCCATATTTTGTATTGTTCGCAATATTTGTACATAATATCATAACAAATGTGTATAATCATTTTTATATCCGACGAAGGAAATTGTGAATCTCATTTGTACGAGTATATATTATTCTATTGCTACAATAATATGTACATTGATTTTCTTTTAATCATAAATTAATAAAGCACATACACACGTACGTTTACTGAGATTTTATCATCATGAGCTATTTACCATAATATGAAAAAAGGCATTTGTAAGCGGTAGAAGCAGCTCTAGTGTCTACTTGCCGTCAAAGTAATATTATGTAAATTCAGTAGATCGCAAAACAATAGTATTACAAGTCATTTCCCATTTCGTATAAATGTTACAAAAAAAAAAAACGAAAAATGTCACTTTAACCGCATCTGTTGTTGGCCTAAACTCTTCTAAAAATTATATTTTTGAAACCACTTCGAAATGGACAACAGAGGGATGGAAATTGACTAGTAGTGTTGCTAACCGTAATTTTTGCGGGACAATTATTGTAATAATTGGAAAATTATCTCATTTGTACAATTAATATCGTGTTATATCCATCTGATGTATTTTTCTCATACTTGTAGGTGTACTTCAGTAGTAAAAGTTATCTTTCATCCACCCTTATAAGTATAGACTTGGTGTTTGTTTAATGCAAACATACGTTTGTAACTCCATAAATATGTAGACAATAGTTTTTTTTTAATAATTTGTAACCAATAGCAACCAATCAACATAATATCAACACACATACAAATATCATATTATATTTATAGTTAATTGCCTTCGTCTTTGTGTGAAAATACAGAGACACGAAGAAAAATATTTTTTAGTTTAAAAAGCTGGGAATTGGGTGAAGTTCAGACTCAAGAAAATGCAAACTATTTTTCTTAGTTTTGACGGTCAAAATATGTGACTTTACATGCCTGGAACGAATTTTCTTATCGCGGATGAATAAAACATTTTTGCTTTACTTATTACTTTGACACGACATATTTTTATCAGTATGCACAACGTACTTGAAATGTATTACAACACAACATGGAGAAAAACGCGTGCACATGAATAATTTGAATACACTCAGGTCGTATTGTCATATATCATATCACATTGTATTCTTTTAGAACTTATTTTTTTTTCCTTTACACTCCGCTGACCCGGGACACTTCCTTATCACTTGAACGTATACCTACCCTCTGTGCGTCTATCAGTTTTCATATATCTTCATAACAATCACACTGTTATGTTACCTCGTTAGTTTTTGTTTCCTCTCCGCCTTTGATATCTTGCCGGTGTAGTGCGCTACACTTTTCGCTTATAATAACCGTTATTACCTTTTGTTTGTTAATTGATGCCACCGTAGATACAAACTCTTTTTTTTAACTATTTCGGTCCAACACAATGCGAGCTATGTGCAATTGTGTTTGTGTGATTTGTGAAATTTTTCTTTCCCTTATCAGTCATCCGTTATCAGCAGATTATCTTATCAATCAGCTGATTCTCTTATCAGTTATCCGGGAATTTTCTATTGCCCCTTATCATCATCCCGTTCTCACAGCACGCACATCTTTTTTTTCTCACACATTTTGATCAAATTTTCTACAAAATCCCACCCGTGGGCGTGGTGCGACCGCTGAATCGAGTTGTCTATCTTTGACGTTAGCAAGTACACGCATATAATGTAATAATGTAACACTACACTTGAGTGTATTTTTACAAGGACCTAGAGCAATACATCACGGGCGCCACTCGCGGTGTCATTTACTTCTCGATGGGCTCGATACTGAAAGGCGCATCGTTACCGACCGACAAGGCTATGGCATTCCTGCGGGCGTTCCAGCGGCTCCCGACGGGATACAAAGTCCTGTGGAAATGGGAGGAAAAAATGCCCGGTGGCTTTCAACCGGATAACGTCAAATTCGTATCGTGGACACCTCAGTTCGACGTCCTCAGTAAGTACAGACTTTGTTTTTGAGTTCCAATACAATTCCACAGTCTGTGGAATAGCCTAATTGACACAATACTGTCAACTAGCTTTCTCCTCCGCTATTTTCCAACCATCGATTTGGGGAAACCCCGTTAGGAAACTTATGAGCTAGTACCTATCACGTCGCTTAATCATCTCCAACATTTTACTGCAAAGCAAAAAAGAAAACAACTATTAATAACTCAAAAAGAAATAATTACTACTGTGTGACCTTTTCCTGGGACAATAAACGCTGTGAAATGGCGATTTTAAAATAAAAGCGTGTTAAACGAATCGTAATTAATTTCATAAAACTAAATTGAGTAAAATTAAAACGCCCAATTCAAAAAGTCTCAGCTTGAAACTGTGAAATAAATAAAACATTTTAATTAGTAACAAGAATTTGTTATTTTTTTTACACTTCATTTAGAAAAAAATTCCGCAAGAGCAAAATATTATAAAACTAAATTCCATTGAAATGGTCTTTAATATAATTTGGTTTTATTTAAATAAAAAAAATATATTCCTGTTGTTAAAAAGTTTATTAAATCAATATTTTAATTAGGTGTGGAACATGGTATTTATTTTTTTTCCAGTTTGTTCAGGTTTTTTTTTTCAAGCCTCTCATACATTGTTGGCATAACATTATAGTTGTGTGTATATATTACACGCTGGTGGCAGATTAGTTCACAAATAGATTTAATTTGACAAATGGAACTACGTCAATGTCGCTTGCAAATTTAATACTTAAACAAAAATGTGATATGAATACTTTATGGACGATAAAAAATCAAACAGACGTACAAGGTTGATTCGTGTTCATAAAAACTGTAGTATTCATACCCAGTGATACAAAAGTTTCATGAATAACTTAGCACATTTTGTTGTTACACAAAAGACATAAAAAATTAAATAAAAAACCATATTTTTTTTTCGAAGCCACGCTCTACCGCAGTAATTATAAATAATTAAAAAAATAATTACATGGCAAACTCAAGCCAAACTACGGTATTAAAATATTCAAAACGCGTCTAAGCAATTAAAATCCTCAAAATTTACCTAACACGAGTTTTTGAAAAATAACATTGGGTATTGTTCGGTTATTTACTTTATGTTTTTCAAATTTTAAATGACTCAAAACCGAAGAGTTTACATCGAAAATTAACTAAGTATACATCTCGAGTATGGTTTAACGGTGCGTTTTTTTTTTGTTTAATATATAACAATATTTGAAAAATTGAATTATGAATATAGGAACGTGAGTCAATAACGCAAACTGTAATAATATATTGTGGCACATGTATGGATGGATGAGGGAACTTTTATTGGACTTTAGAAGCCAAGCTGTTTGCATAGTATAATATGCTAACGTGAAAGAGTGATATTCCAAAGAACGAAATAAAATAACGGCAGCTGCTAAACAGACACGACCGAAATTAAACATATTGTATTAAATATGTCGGTTCTCGAATAAAAATTTAATACTTTTTTTTTAAATTTAAATTTACTCGAAGGAAAACTGAGGACTGATAAATTTATGTTGATGGAATATCATAAAATGTAGCTTATAATTTTTAATGCGCATAAATAGATAGAGATAAGAAAAGGGATAAGAGATATAATAGTGATAAGTAATGTGATAAATTATAAGGAATCAGTGATAAGAGAATAGAGATAAGTGATAAATGATAAGAGATATATTTTAAATGACAAGAGATAAGTGATAGGATATTATATGAGATAACATATTCACGATTCAACGTTTTACAGTGTAGTGGAGAAAATAACTAGGTTTATTTCGTTCCCTGCGAATTTCTGGTGTTGTAACAAATTTCGCGATGCCCGACTGTCTTTTTATATTGATTTACTTACACCACACAATAATACCTATTCCGGTGAAACACACATATTATTATTATTTATCGATCACGTTTTTCCTTTGCATCCCCATAGATCACCCGAACGTCAAACTGTTTATATCGCACTGCGGTCTGCTGGGCATTCTGGACGCTCTTTACACAGGTGTGCCAATTATCGGCATACCAATGTTTGCTGATCAATTTTCCAACATGAATTTCATCACGGACCAAGGCTGCGGAGAAAGATTGAAATATGACAAGATCGATGAACATATTGTCTTCCACACAATGACCACCATACTCGGCGATCAGAGGTGAGTCCAAAACTGTACACATTTTTATTATTCTATTCACAATAATATTGTACAGCCAACACTGTCCAGTGAAACACTTGAGTCTAGACACTTTCTGGATGGAGTTTTTCTGAACAAAACGCAAACAAGCGTGAAAACTTCATATTTATATTTAAAAAAAAAAATAATATGTACTGTTTGATGTGTGTGTGTGTGTGTGAAGTGAAACTTATAAAAGCGATGACGGATATACATTTGTAAAAAGAGAGTGTACTTGACTGTCCGATTCCGAAACTTTTTACACATTTTTAACATAATATGTATTACACATTCAGAGAAACCTTCAACACTTCATGCCATTGCATTATTAAAATAGTTTTGGAATAAGTGCAATAAACTCTTTCAGAGTAAGATTTGTATAACATTTTTAAAAAAAACATCGAGTTAATATTTAGTTATTGAACTTACGAAAAGATAATTTTTAAATAATGTTATAATCGTTAAACTTGATCACATCTATATTTATAAGAGGTTCAACGTTTAGCATAATATTTACATTTCGCATTATACGAATAACTGCATAATTTATACTAATAGTTATAGAAGCATACAATGTGTCCCTAAACTGAGTTTTCTATTTAGGAGCATTACAAGTTGACCAAGTCCAGTCTTGGCCGTTTGTTCTCCAGGGAATCGAGATTTATAAAGATAGAACCATTTATGTAACATTTAAAGAAATTATAGTTAAAATATAGAGGTTAAAACGGAGTGCACACTTCTCAAACGCCACAGTTACATGGTAGATCATCACTCATCACTTCAGAATCGGCGTTGGCCTTGGAAATAAACGTCAATCGTGTTGTGTCTAGACTTCTAATCGTACACTATTATTGTATGGTATATATATATATATATATATGTAAGTATTACACTTATAGCACGCCAGACAAGACATAACGAATCCTATACAGCTAGACTAGGAATTTCTAACATAAAAGCTAAGATTCGAGCGCCAGCCAAAGCTAATGAGGCGAGTCAGACGTCGTGTCGACACTGAATGGTATTCAAACACTTTGGTATGCATTTCCAGACCGACCACCACAGATCTACATAGTGTGGTTGTTAATAAAAATATGATGAAATATGACTATGGCTTTTAAACAGATGATTTTCAAGAATGTCCGACATATATTATTACAGTAAATATTTTATAATTCCATCTTGAAATTTGTAAGTTTTCAACGCTCGACCACCACTTTCACCGACGTTAATGCTATCTGTAATAAATTACATACCCTCTTGAACTTAATGCACATTGATCTCTGCCGGCCCAGTATGGGCTTTGTTGGCGCTCGATTGTCCGTTCTTATACTTTTCTAGATTATGTTTAGTTTTGCGATGCGGCTCTCATTGTTGGCGTCCGAAGAGTAATCGCGTTTTCCCAACTTGAGCCGAACGCAAACACTAGAACTTATACCTATGTAGTGTTCGCAAAGTTTGTATTTAACTTTAGTTGGTATAAAATAAAAACAGCCCTTCCATTCTCTGAGAACATACGAACTTCGTCATTAATTTTACAATAGATATTGTAATTATTATCAACGAAATACAGTTGGAAAATCTGTAGAACATTGAATCGTGGAAATGCTATCTCTTATCACTTATATTTAGTCTCTTATCTCCAATATCTTATAATATGTTACCTCTTATCACTTATCTCTCATCTCTTATCATTTATCACTTATCTTTTATTACTTATCCTTTATCTTTTATCACTTTTCTCTTATCACGCGAAAATGGCGACATGATATTTCTTGTATCCAGTCCAATAACATAATGTCCATGTTGAAGTACAAAATGGTTGGGCAGAAATTATAATATATTTCACTATTTCTCCCATATAGTCCGTCATTTGGCGAATAAACGTTTGCTAATTATTTATTTATGTTTTTTTTTTATTCGCAAAATGTTTCAAACTAAATGCATTAAGAATGACTTTCCCTTTCAACGCAATTATCCTGGAAACTCACGGTTATGGCTCACGATCAAGAGATTCTAGAATAGGAAATAATATATTAATATTGCAATAGCTCTGGCGAAGTTACAGCCAACGAAATCAAAATAGAGGTCAGGAAAAAAGTTTGTCGAAGCAATATCACATTGACAGACATTGACAGATTATTCGCTGTTGTAACGGTATTGGTTTTTACTGTACTTTGCAACTATTGCATTTCGTGTCCAGAAGGGTTTGCCAATGTTGCCAACGTCTCTTTTACATTTCGGATTTATTACACTACTCTGTAGTTAAATGGTGAAATTACATTTCTCTAGTAAATATTTTCAATTTGTTTAACTTCTACAACCATATAAGATACAAAACGTAAGACTTGCGAGTTATCATATTACCTAAATATTATATGAAATTTGAATTTATCGTTTCAACTAAATAATCGATAAGATGATACTCAACGACTTGAATTGTTCGTATTTAATGTGGTCACACTGTCGCTGGCCTTCTTGATGTATACCATAGATTTATAGTACAAAGAGGTGAATATAATTATTAACATACTATAGCGTTAGTGAAGTGCACAAAAGGACTACAACCAGTGAGGCCACTCGAAAGAGAAAAAAAGTCCCCTGTGTTAAGTGATTGGTACTCTATATGATAAAATAAGGGGTTTTTACATCTATTTTTTAAATTTCATTGTTTTTGTTTCTTTCAACGTACTGTTATCGTTATATTTTCTTCTTTTTTTTCTTCCAGATACGCCTGGAACGCCAAACGTCTGTCGATGCTGTACCGAGACCGTCCGGTCGACCCGCTTGACAATGCCATTTTCTGGATAGAGTACGTGGCCGAGTACGGAGTGAACCTTTTCAGACCCACGCCGTTACCTTGGTATTCGTATTGTTCCTTGGACCTGGTCGGCTTGGCCGTGCTAGCCTCGACAGTAGCTGCTTATTGGATAGGACGGTGTGCCCGTCTTTCCTGGTCCTCGGCCCGAAGAACCGTGTGGAACCGACCTTTGCCGGCGGGTCTTAAGCTCCGGTAAAAAGGAAATTGCTTTTTTGCCACCGTCGATCTCTCACATTACCCACCCCTATCCCACTGAAAACCATTTGTTTTATTAAACGTATATTTTGTTGTTAACGTTTTTGTGTTTATTACCCGTGAACACATCCCGGCGGCAACGTCTTTTTATTTTCTTATTTTTTTTTGTTTGGTTAAAAATAAATGCTCCCAACTCGCGTCGGTGATCCGACGTGGTGCTTTATAACGTTTCGAAGAGGGTAAAAAAAAAAAATGACGTTAGACACCCTAAAAGGTCTAAGACGTCCCGGTACCCGCATGCCCGGGCTTTAAGGGCGACCAACACCCCTGTACAACAACACCCTTTGGGTATACTTGCGCCATTGTATTTTGAATTTTGACAACACATTCACCCCGTTTATATTATGTTCTCTATAGTGGTGTGTTCGAAATCATACATTTCAATAGTTTTAAAATCAAAAAACTCGGTGTGCGGTTAGAAGTGATTCCCAACTTACAACAGCAACGTCTTGTAAATATCAATTTTCAAAATTTTACCGAATACTTTCGATTGTACAATTGTACGTTAACCAACGCAATTACATGAAATTAAAACATTGACGGTGCTTTTTATGATAAAAAAATCTACTTACATTTTGCCAACACACTTATACAGTTGCCTGTTAAACCCATAGTCATGGATAGTCTTAAATGTTGTCATTCTCTTGTAAGTATATGATGTAAATTAATCAATATTGTTCCAAGTCGTTTTGGCAAGTATCTACTACCACCCAATTGGCCACATCTTACCCGCGACGACGGACTACCATTTATATTACTTTAATATCTTACTAAGTCACTTAGTGAGTGTTCCAACTGTATAAGCCAACGCAGTTATGAAAATATTGAATCGAGATGATGTCATTCAATTATCATTCGACGGATTACAATAAATTATTGTTTATTTGAACACTTGAAAAGTAATAAAATATCATTAAAAGTTGTTTGAGAAAATATCAAATCCGGGGAATTAACTGTAGCGATGAAATGGCTAAAAGGAAGTGATAACGGTCAAACTTATGATATTTTATATTATAAAAGTTTACTTTATACATTGAAAAAAAAATGTGTATATATATATATATTTCTGAGATTTTAAGCTTCCGTTTGAAAATTCCGGCTGCGCTCACACAAGTTTATATTAATTAATATTTAATAAAACGCCTCGATTGAACATTCTTCAGCTGTTCACCTCATTTCGATTAAAACGCCCAGAGGATTATAATACATAGTGTTATTACTGTAATCCGTTAGAATTCCATTTATTCGATCAACGTCTCCGACAGCTTAATATGAGCAGAACTACCATAGTGATTGTGTGCTCAACCGATTTCAAACGTTTCTGGCCTATCAAACTCTATGGATGAATACAATATACATGCACAGTTGGTTATACTATGATATCCTGCACAAAATTGGAAAAAATAAACATATACACTTTTTGGCTTGGCGCCCATTGTGAAATTTGATCATCCTGTTCAAATTGGGTTCTGAAATGAAATACTGTGCGTTAGGTCAACCTTGCCTCTCGCTATCTCTATACCTTTAATGGTTCTGCCAAAGTTCAGTGGAAATTATTGTTTTCAGGACCACAGCAACTAAAATAGAAGTAATAAATTTTAGATAAGCTACAAAGGCTGGATAAAACCACACAAATAATTTCACCAGAGGTACAAAATGTGTGCGTGGAGAGGGTGGTTTTTTTTTACCCTGCGACATTTTAATTAGCAACCGTCGACGAGTAACCTATACAGCTGTAGTGTGGTTTCAGAAAATAGTGTTTCAAATTAAAAAATATTGTTATCTCATATCATTTATTTCTTATCTCTTATCACTGCATATATATATATATATATATAATAAACTAGATTGCCAACTAGACGTGATAAGAGTGGAAGTCAACGTCCGCCATTTTTGTGTGTATAAAATAATATAAGAATAAAGTTAACAAAGGAGGTTTTTAAAAATACTAATTGGGGACACGCGAAGATATCAGTGTAGAGTCGCGTGAATTAGTATAAATTATTTTACAATGTTATTGTACAAACTCCATATCAATCGTACGGTTTAAACGGCAACTGAATATAAATAACAGTTTAGATAACTTATTTTTATCTAATCTATGATATTGTATAAAATTGTATATTTCTGATGTGTGCGATCACACCGATTTCATTTACACATATACGCGCTTATCACTCATATCTAATCTCTTATCACTAACTGATAGTGAAATTTCTTGCATAAAAATTATAATTTAAGTACAAACCACGGTTATTGACCGCAGGTAACCGCGATAACCAAGGTTTTAGGTTAACTCGTGTGGTAGTTGAGCCAAATTATTTGTTTTAATATCTTATTTTATATTGATTTAACTCAAAATATAAACAAACAAATTAAAATATCTGAATTACTCTTGTTTTTTTTTATCGAGGAAATTAAAAGTAAAAAAAAAAATACCTATTTACATACCATTTTTTTTTGTCGATAAAATGTGCCAGACAATAATAATACGGTTAAAACGGTTTAATAGTATAAAAAACATCAAAAGAAAATAATCACAACTCAACGTCAGTGTAACGCGAATATGTAATGTTAATATGAAAAAAAATAAAACAGCTGTGTAAATAAATTAACACATACATTTTTGGTGTTACGGTTTCGGTCGAAACCTAAGCCCATAGACAAGACATAGGCAAGAAAGTCACTTGAAAACAACAGATTATTTTCTTTAAAGTTTTAACGGTTCAAAAATACAAGTAAGTAATACTATCGGACTTAAGTATATTTTAAGTACACTTTCAATCAAATAACACCACAGAGTGATCCATCTGATTATTACTTACAGATAAAAATGCAAATTTTCTGTTTATTACTGTCATTTCTTTTTGTAAACGTTTCCACCGATAAACTAAGTAATTATTTAATTTTCCAAACTTATTCAGAGTTGTTAGATCGTTTTTTTTTTTAAAAATTCAGTATTTCACTTTTTTTTTTTACAGCGGAATATATCAACGAGGTTTCCATTACAAGTCGGTTACACTTTATTTTAGGTTTTTTAATTTTGCTTTTTTCATACAAATTTTTTTTAAACGACCTATTACAGATGCACACATCAATTTCGCACATAATATGAATAATTTTATTTTAGAAAACACACGCATACCGAGTAAGATATTTATTTAGAATTGATTTAGTATGATTATTGTGTTTTGTTGTGTCCAACTCAAATCAGAGGCAATAGCGTTAAGTTAAAATATGGCCACTGCTTAAAGCGTGTGGTTTAATAAGATTTGGTGTACTTAATATTTGATTTGATTTAAAATGTTTTATTATATCTCGAATCTTTATGTACTATGTTTATTCTAGATGGATTAGAGTATGTAATTGAAAGAATTGTTCAAGGAAATAGATACAACATAGGTAGTCATAATTATTATGTAATAGTAAAAAAATAAATAAAATAAAGATAACGCTTGCTAGTATAGGTAGAACACAGAAAATTTGTTCTCCAAAACCTAAATGGAATCCACTTTGAGCTTTGTCTTTTTGTCCGACAAATATAATATGAAATTTAAATCCAATATAGAATTTGTTTATGTTATGTTAATTTCAGAAATTATGAACAATATGATCACCGTACCGGGTAATCGTTTTCATTGCACACATATCTCCAAATAGTATACAATATTATGTTTTTGTTTTAATTTCAGATTATGCATTCCTCAGGGACATACAGAGTAATCGCCTATTTGTATATTTTCACGTTTACTATAGTTTTATTACATTCACGATATCGTGTTGGTTCTAATCATAGAAAATATATAATATTAACATTAGATAATGTTTTTGTGTTTGCAATTGTAGAGTCCATACACCGACAGAGAGACATGCGAATAGAAATAGGCTATGAACTAAGTAAATATAAAAAAACGGGTATTACCTATTAACAGTGTGACGATTTGATGTACCTGCATATTTCTGTTACAGAAATTAACATTCCCAGCGTTGACCAAAGTAATAAGGATTTTTTTTTTTTTGGATGGCCTATCGAAGCTGGTTTTTGATTTTACACATTTTTGCAGATTCTGGAGACTTGAATTTGAGACAACTCGGAGAAGCGAGAAGACTTGTCGCTGAAATTGCTTTGAAAAATATCATAAACCGAGCACACGGTAAACAAAGGGTTGTTATGGTTTTTGTAAACATTTATATAATAATTATATGCACAACCAGCCATTAGTAATATATTTTAAGCGTGACTAATACATTTTTTTTATTATTATTTGTCAACAACACCTGTTATTTTTACACATACTTGCAGACTTTAAACACAATATCGCCAATCTCGTCGAACAGAGAAGACTTTGGGGTACCCCGAGGACATTTCAAAAGACAATCGCCACAGCAATAGGCAAGTGTTAATAGTATATAGGTAATGTCTATGTGTATAACAATAATAATAATAATAATGTACACATTTGTTTAGATGAAAAACAAAAAGACTCCAGTCTGGGCAGGATGTGTAACTATATTGGGTTGTGGACGAGCACAAGAACGCCATCGCCTTACATAATAGACATCCGCATAAGGCTAAGTCCCGATTGTGTTTGTACCTTGTGGGATCAAAGTTATGAAGCCAAAGTATACAGACCCTTCGGTGGAGTATATTGGCAAGTAGACGCCGATGTAACTGACCGGCAAATAATGAAACTTCAGGCACAGCTGTTACTGTGATACCCAATTTGGATAAACAATCAAAATTATAACGCTTACAGTGTAGTATACAAATTCGTCAGCTTAACGTGTCGTCAACGTATTTCATATAATAAACTATTATGCTTACTATTTTAAACGCTATTTTTCAAGCAAAACATTCTACTTTCAAGCAATCCAGACTTACAAAGTCCACGTTTTTAATTATCAACTATTTTAAGTAAACAACTGATGTGTTATGGGTAATGTTCATTGGTTTTTTTCAATAAGTTTCACAAAAATCTTACTATAAAGACAAGTAGAAAAAAAATCTCATAAACATTGTATGATCAAAAATTGAATAGTTAGTCGACTTTAATTGATTGGCCTATGAATACATTTTATTATACGAATAATATTCACAATTATTTATACTCATAATTATTGTTGTTTCAATTGTAATGTTTTTATCTTTAAAGTTTTACTTGATTTGATTAAACCAATCATCTACATTACTTGTAAGTTTCAAACGCATTAAAGTTATCTATTTTGAAGAGAAATATTGCACATTTACTTATTAGGGTTGCAGTCACTTGTGCAAATGAAACAATAATTAAATTACAATTCTGATACATTTGTCAACCGGTTTATGATTGTATAACCGGTTAAAAATGGTATGTACTCAACAACGGTCACGTGCCATAATAGGATGTACTCACAGGTGCAGTGCGGAACTTGAACGGTGTCGGTTCCGCCGGCCGCCGGGCGGTCACGCGTCATCTATACATGACACCGTGGCCACGGCGGCGAGGCCGGAAGGCACGCCATGTCGCCTCGTGGTCCGGCCGCCGCGGACGTTGCGGCGGTGTTCCGTGCGATACGGCGGCTAGGGGTTGGCGGCGGCGGCGGCGGCTGCGGTACGCGCGACGATGGCCGGGCGGGTGGAAACCGTCGTCGTCGTCGTCGTCGTGATCGCGAGTTTTCTACGGCGGCCGGCTGGGGCGTACAAACGACGTCGGCCCAAATGTACACGGGTGCGCTCACTGACTGACTGTTGGCAAAGGGGCTGCTACGTCGGCGGCGGCGGCGGCACACAGCACGCACACTCTGACTGGACGCCGCGCGGCATCGATCCCTCTCGCCCCTATTCGGCCGCCGCGCCGCCGGCCGTCCGCGTGTACGCCGCGCCGCTTCCGCCACTAGCCGGCCGCCGGTGCAGTGCCGGCCATGCACCTGCATAATGCCTCTCGCCTTCTCTCCCACTACCCTCGAATTTTGTTAAACTTTGTTTTAACAACACCGCATACTTAGGCGCATTACAACAATAATTAAATTATAATAATGTACACATAGTAGGTACAGTGTATAGCTGCAAATTTCTATGGAATATTCCTGAAATAAACGTTGGCAACCAAAAATGAATTTAAAAGGTTAACGTTTGATTGTATCGCTGCAAACTCGATGGGCTTTCCAGAGGGAGAGCGTCCGTTTTGTGTACACAAACATAACAATGTAATGTGTACACAGTGCAATGTACAATAATACTTGGAATAGGCCACGACCAGAGTTCAGACAAACAAGAGTCCTGTACAGTGTAATATTATCTTGAGCATAATAATAATAATAATATATATTCAAACGGAATTCGCAGCCCTCGACAATCTCTGAATATTCCAACTGCCAAGTTATGTCGAACTTGTAAAAGCCATATTGCGCTATTATAATATTATATTTAGCCTACACAAGCACCAAACACCAGCTACACACTAAAGTCTCCTGTATTGTTGTCATGCAGAAGAATATTATTGTCCCGTCTTATTATCTATATCTCTTTGGAACAACACTTGTGGCGTGGAAATAACAGCTCATCTTGTGGCCACATTATTTATAAGGCCAAATTTTGCGCTCAAGTGAATATTATTTTCGAAAACAGCCTTATAGGAAATATTACTCATACTCAAAAATATATACTAACAGCAAGGAATTGTTTACCATCCAACAAAATACTATGACAAGGTGACCTAACCAAGGTGAATTATCAATGTCCAATGTTATATGGACTAAAGTTGTTTTTATTAAGCGGTTTCTCGGTGTAAGTAATATAATAATAATTGTGTCATCTTTATCTATGATGATTTTATAATGTCACCCCCCCCCTCCCATTATACTTGACCTATACATCACTATGCTGTGCTATGTATACGATTATAGTTTAATCTTGAAGATTAATATTATGTGTTTTGATTCAGGTATTTTATAAACAATCGGTTAAATAAAAAAATAACCTTTGTGTAATAAACTTTGTTGCTTAAAGCTGATGATTTATATATACCTGTATATAGTATAACATTAACAGTGCAAACGGGTAGAATTAATATTAAAAAAAAATAAAAAATCAAGGGCCATTATTTATTGTCTGGCGGTTTTCATAGTTTATAATATTATTCTTATTACAAAATATATATATATAATTAATATCAAACCATCAATCTCTAAGAGTTGGTTCTGTTGTACAATAATGTACAGGTAAAGAATTTTTAATCATTTTTTTAGACTTTTTTTTGTCTTTTACTTACAACTGAATTTTGTAAAATATTTCACCATTTTCAGTACTTTTTTCACTGTAAGTCTTATCCAATTTAAGTGTTCAGAGCGGTCTCAAGTCAAACGATTGTGATCAATAATTACTACAAAACAAAACAAATATACTTCAATGCGAATCTGTAAAAATTGATACGGTTGATCGTAAGAACATAATAGCGTCAAATTTAATATAATATTATTATAGTCTTAAATCATGGCCAAATTTGTTTTTGTTTTTTACATTCAAACACTTTTATTAAATATTATATTATATATTTTTTGTCTATATCCAGTTACGTATGATAAAAAAAAAAAAATATTATTACACAATGATGTATAATTTTCATTTATTTTAACAAACACACCGTCAAGAGTATAGGACATTTTTTTTTTTTCTAATTTAAAAATATTTCAGATCTAGCAATCGGTGGGATGATCAAACTGTCGCAATATTAAAAGCGCTTTATTAATTAAATTTTAAATAATATATAGAATGGCCAATCGCACGGTTAAAGCGGATTTTCATTACGAGCAAAGTACACACTAAATAACAATGTCTGGTGTAAAATACTGAAATTGGACCTTTCAAAATAGAAAATATAAACACTATGATAACAACAATATTTATTTACAATTTGTTCTAATACAATAACTGTGGAAAAACATTATTTCTATAGAGTACATCAACAATTTTCTATTAGACTCGGTGACAACGATAAAATGCCCGACGAGTGACCAGGTTCGGTAAACGTAACTATTTTTTTAAGTTTCGAACACAATAAATAGGTAACCAACAAGCGGTACTCAAAATTAACAGTTTGTTCTGGCAAATGGTCAGCGTTGACTTTATTTTTTTTCAATCCAACAGTAAATGATCTAAACTACAAAAATCATAATTTATAGCCGGCCAACAGAGTAGAATAAAACAAAAACTAGCTGCTGTCGATAGGAGTGACTCGATATAAAACAATTTTTTTTTTTTCTGCAGAAATACTGAAACAGTGTCGAGTTGTTTAAATTCACAACTAAGCGTAGATCAAAATCGATAAATACAATTTCACAGCCAACAAACGACGAATAATACTCAAAATGCACAAGTTTAAAACAAGCGAAAGTTATTTACAAGCGAGCGCGCGGCAAGTGCACGACGTCGAATCACCGATTGTAAACGGGTAAAGGATGACCTTCGCTGTTGAGCACGTATTTGTCGATGGACAACGCGTGCCGATCGTCGGACATCAACAGGTACAAGTACTTGAGCGTCTCGGCGAAGAAGAACGACTCGGTCATGTCCTGCGGTCGCGTGTCGTCCGGGTCCAGCACGTTGCCGATGGACGTGTAGCCGCCGGCCACCTTTGTGTACCGCTCGAACCCTTGGAACACCAACCAGCCCCAGTCTTGGTAGGTGACGTTGCCGGAAATCTGGTACATGTACCACAGGCTCTCGGCAAACTCGGGACGCAGCAGGTTGTGCGCGTCGTTTATGTTGACGTACATGTCCGGATTCACGTTGACCTGCGGCAAGGCAACACGATCGATCAATAACATTATCGATTTTGACGTCGATCAAAATTAACTATTCCCCTCACTTTTGTGCTAAAGTAAACAATTTCCGGCGACAAGAACGTCGGCTGATCGGCGTACATGTTAAAACACGTGTCCAACAATTTCTCGGCTAGTCGCATGTGACTGGACGGCATTCCGTGGTGTACGCCCAGTGCCAGAGTACCCGGCAAATAACAAACGAGATGATCCATTTTCGGATGAAAGTCGTACGAGCCCGCCCTGAGTTCTCCGATGTAAGTCAAGTTTCTCTGAGGAGACGTGCGCACTAATTTCGTGATGATCCCGTCGATGGCTTGGATATAGTCGTCCTTTAGGCTAAAAAAATAAATTAGCAATCGTTATAGAATCGTATGTTTAACGCTATTCGTGTTGTAATTACTAATCGATGGATTTTCCGGTCTGAATCCATTGTTTCAACAGGTACTCATAGTAACTGTCGCCCCTTGCGCCCAATTTGATTTCCGATCGTTTATGAAACTTGCCCGTGTTCGGATTGATGTAGATCGGCACGAGTCCGTGGTATTTTTCCAACGTGTGAATATGTTCGGACACTCTGGACGCGACTTTCTAAAAAAAACGCACACGACGATGAGAGCACCGATTATGATTTATTTCCAAATCCGTCGAGTGACATTATGACTTTTTGCTTACTTCAAAATCCGGTCTGCCCACGCAACGTGATAAATCTCTAAATTCTAATTGTAGCGTCGATACTTCGGCCGTACTCGAATCCGGGCTCCATTTCGGAGAGTGAGCCATATGGGAAACTAAGTTCACGTCGGAGTAGGGTATGGGCGAAGGAGATTTGGTGAAACACGGAAGAAGTCGTTCGCCGACGTCCAACTGTAAGTATTAAACAAGTAAAACAATATTATTATACGACAATAATAATTTGATTTTTTAGAATAATTAGATTTGGTATCGTTTTTTCTTTTGGTTTAATAAAATTTACAAATATTTCGTTATAAATTTTGTTCACACTCACTGCTTTATCTAGGAACAAAGAATCTCCGGTGAAATGATAAGCGCTTAAGAATCCGCCCAAGACTCGTATAGTAGTCTCAAACAAGTTCACGTCTTTATAATGATCTAGACTAAACTTTGTGCTGACCCATTCTCGAGCTTCGTCGAATTCTAAACAAATAACATAAATCATTAGTCGGTTTTTTTTTTAGACGAGGCCTTGCAAACGGCATTTTTCAAGTTATTATCTCAAACGTCACTTTTTAATAAATGCTATTTGCCCTAATGAAAATTTATTAACATTACAAACCTTTTTTCATATTCATAATCCATAAAGTGTCTAACGAATCGACTATTGTCAGGCCCAAATTGAACCAGTCTTGGTATCTTTTGCTAATGGGCTTCACGTGGTCGTGTCCCCAAGCGTATTTTCGGTATCCCGACCAAGCGTGTTTGAATGCGTTCAACACGGCATTTTGTCGATGGCCGAATGCCGGAGAAAACTGAACGCCGCTGGATGGATTTGACACGGGAATGAGGGCCGGCGCGGCAATCTGTTCTTTTCGATCGACCCCGTCCACGTCGTTGTTATCGATTTCGTTCAATTTCACAGCTTCAACGCCATCGGGTAAATCCAGTTCCTTGGGGGCAAATCGAAAAAGTAATTAGCCATTCCGTTACACAACACCAGCCTAACCCCACTTACTTGTTGTGGGCTAAGGGTGAGCTGCGGTAGTTTGACGGCGTTCACGTCGGTCAACTCGTCAAATTTGTTACCACTGCCGATCAGCCATAAATATATTGAAATACACGTGACGGCCGCGCACAAATAAATTATTAGTTTTTGTAGCTTCGATAGTTTTCTCCAAAACTAAAAACAAACATATTAATCAATACTTAACATATTTTTATTTAAATAAACAACACGATTGCGAGTGCTCGGGCACCCGTCGCATACGTACCCTACGGCCCCAGCTTTTGTAGCTATAATTTTGACCAACACCGCTTAACGGTACAGTTTCGAAATTCAACGACACATGGTCCTTTATCATATTAAGAGGCTGGCGTAGTCTATCGGTTTATATTATATTTCATCTAAACTGAAACGACGAGTACAACGTTTAAAATGACGCGTAAACAACAGCTAAGTGTACATAACATTATTATTATTAATTATTATTATGCCAGATACCGACCTATTATAACTAACGCCAACAACAAACACACACACACACGATTTAAAATAAAACAACAACAACAACAACGTAACGCTAAAGGAACATTTTTAAATACATATATTTATAATCCTATAATATTTACAATCGTGCATAGAGTAATTTGTTTAATATAATATATTATAATAATTATCGGAAAATTAGTAATCGCATGTCATCTAAAACGACTTGCAGTGTAAACACAATTATTGTTGTGATAAGTGATAACGATAAACGTCGGCCGTGATAATAATATTGCTGACAACAAATGCCGTGTTATCTATTAGCTGTGATAACTGATAAGGCGGCTCGGTAAGAAAACGACTCGTTCTACTGTCAAACGTACTGTTCCTAAGAAAGCTGTTTTGATTTAAGTTTTGAAAAAATATTTTTAAATTCTTCATTACATTTTTACCGTGCGCAGATCGTGGCATAATTTAATAATGTATTATTATTTGCTAATTAATTATTTCAGTTTAGAAAATGTTAAAAATTGCAGTTTATTTACATTGAAATACCAATTTAATTAATTTAAATTATTTTTTAAAATTGTGCCACGATCGATGCCTTGAAAACGTTATGAAGAATTCAAATGTTTTTTTCAAAACTTAAATCCAAGTATTCTTAAGAACGTTTGAAGTAGAAACATGTTATTATGTTTTTGTACAAAAATAGATTCTACGTGCGTCATAAAAATTGAAAAAAAAAATTACATCAAAATAGATCCTTCCTGCATACAGTAATATATATATATACTTAAACATTTTAGCTCTTTGTTAAGTTTTACAATCTTAGTTTAATATGTTAAGTTTTAATGAAAAATTGCCTATACAATGCGCCTTAAAAAAATGTTAGTGTCCTCTTAAGAAAAAGTCAAGCGTTTCTAATAAAACATCATTTTAATTTTAATTGGGCACTTGTTCAAATTCCTTATTGTACAATAGTATGTATTTATTTATATATAGTATATTATGGTTAAAAAAAATTTACTTGAATACAATAACTGCAAAACTGCAAAAGCAAATGAAAATAAAATAAACTAGGCCTAACATAGATTCAAAATTAGATAATATTTTCTTGAAAAATTGTTTTGTTTTTTTAATTAATTTAACCGAAATAATTGTTTTGATATGCATATACATAACATTTTACTGTGAATTTAAAGTTCTATTTATCTACCCAAAAAAAAAAAAGGGAGATGGGGGGAACTTTTTGCCCTAATAGAGTACCTTTCTGACATGATTTTCTGATGCATACATTTTGCTACACAAAGAAATCGGTTCAGCTGTTTAGAAGATACCCGTCGTGATTCCAGACACAAAAATTAAATTAAAAATTAAAAAACAAAAAAACACTTAAATGTAAAAATAATAAGTACCTTGTCAGCTAAAAAACTGACGTTGGCTGTAACCTTGTTTACATACTGTGACGTATGTAAGTATAGATGTTTTTTTGATTTTTTAATTATACGGATTATGCTTTATTTATACGGCTTGACCGGGTACCTAAGTGTACAAAAATAAGTTATAATTTTCAAAAACAATAATAATCATTAATCACTTTTACCTTCACAAGTATACACACAAAGTTATAGGTTGGTACGCGTGACGCACAATAATTCAAGAACGCCAATCGAAAAATTCCATGACATATAAAAAAATAATAATATATAGAATAATAAATTCAATAACATTCGACTTTATCCAAAACAAACATTGGAAAATAAACAAACCAATTTTACTTGTTGTCAATAATTAATTTTAGTATTGTTTTTGTTTTGAAGAAAAAAACCAGTATATATTGGGGCGGGGAGGTTACGAATTTTGAAGTTTTTCATATTATTTTGGCTTGTCAATATATAAATACAAAAATATTGTTCCATACAGATTTAAAACTGAAAAATATTAATACAAAAAAACAAAACGACATGGCAAACGAACCACACATATGCCGTTTGAATAATATTGTAAGCCGCTGTTCTGACTTGAAAACAAGTTGTGGTATAAACCACAAAAAATAGAGAAAAAAATTCAGCCCATAAATAACCGTTTATGTTTCGATAACGTCGTCGAAAAACAAACAAAAAATGTTCATATTTTCAAACATTTAATACGGTTTTTTTGTTTTTTTAAATTGAAGAAAAAAAAATGTACATTATAATTGTGAAAAAGATACTTATACTTACAAAAAGTTTCAATGGAAATACCGAATTAACCAACAAGTCATAGAAAACTTGTTTTGAGAGCTACTTTTGATAGTTAAATATATTGTCAATTGTGAACTTGACAAAATAAAAACATGGTAAGAGTCAAAAAACGGTTTTTGTTTACCACTTATAAGTCAATATTATACTTTTTTAATAATTTTATCGTTATATTCTTTTACAAAAATAATTATTGTTTGAAGATTAATATAATAGGTACTTACTTACTGTTATAATAGGTAATAATACAATATTATTACTTTGCTACGCTTTCCAATACCGACTAATATTGTGAACACTACTAAAAGTTAATGAATAATAACTATTGTGTTATTTTTAATAATTATGAGTACCTACTCACTATTAAGAAAATTCAATTTTTAGATTAGATTAATAATTACACACTTAAAATATAATTTTGTGTTATCATAATATTATTATAAATGTTGTAATGTGTCACTTTATAGGTATTCTACAATATTATTAAATATTAAGATGTAAAGTGAATAAATAATATGAGAATTTTATGAACAATTAACCAATACAAATAGCAAAGGTGTTTACAGAAAACGTATAAGTCTTAATAGAACTAAATATTTTACTTAATAATTATTCTAATGGGTTTTTATACAAAAGAAGAAATGTTAATTAATAAAAACTTGGTGATTTTGTCAGTTAATTGTATACTTAAATTATCATAAAATCTGTTAAAACTGTAACGCAAAATTGTAGCTTACATTTTTTTTTTTATGTTGACTAATTATTTAAATAATATTTCATTGAAAGAACTATTCAAATTCTGACCAAAATAACGTTTCACTTGCTATTTTGCTGACTGATTCATAATGAATTATTTATATTGTACATTTTTAATGGAACGTTATGAACAATAATTGTTTTAATAAATATATCAAGTAAAAAATATATTTTACTGCAGAGAACATAATTATTGTAACTGATAATATTTAAAAAAAACATAATTGATACAGGGAACATGTTTTTAAACGTTATTCATTTTTTTATTAAAATATTATATTTCTAGTAAAATGTTCTGTATTTAAATATTGCCAAATAATTGGGAATGTATCAATAGCTGTCAATTTAACAGTATTTAGTGTAAATACATATTATTATTTTAAACATTGATTTTTGCGTAAATACTTTTGGATAATATGTTTGAACCTGTTTTGACAATATATATGTACATATATTTTTTATAACAATTTGCATTGTACCTGAAATGGTTAAAAGTTAATTAATTATTTTAATCGACCATATAAAAATTATAAAACGACGTTTTTTTTATTGGTTTACAATAATTATTAGTAGAATTTTATTCAGTAATTATCCAACGACGATTGTTCGGTAAAATGTGCAATTTAATTGAATAATCGTTATGACACTAGAAGCATATATTACATAATAAAAATGGTAGGCACATAGTTATGGCACATTAAAAATGATTATACTATTAAAAAACAGCTATAATATTGTCCTTCGAGGCTTCAATGCGATGCTAAAAATGGTGGAAAAACGACCGGTAAAATTACAATAGTAAATAATAATATAATATTACAAAATGGCATTTCCGAACGATAACAATTATTGTACTCTTTGAAATTTCATTGTAAAGAAGAAGCGATTTTCAACAATTATTATTACTATAACAATGTGCGGTTTAAGCGAAATTAAAATCTCATAAAATTGCTTATTACTTTTTTTTTAGCACACTAAGTATTATTAACACTTAAGTATAATAACAATAAAAACTGACTGACATTGTGTCAGAAATTGTGCACATATTATTATATACCATTGCAATGGCCTAAGCGCACGTGTGCATTGTGTAAATGCATTTTATCAAAAATATGTTCATTCGATGTCAATGTACTGTAGTTGAAAATAATTTATTGGCACGTCTGTTGTAAATTTGTATAAGAATTTAAGATTTACTTATACTATACATTAGCGATATCATTATAATTATTATCACCGCGTTATATGACATTTAGCCATTTAGGAATTTGTATTTGGTTTTAGTAAACAAAACATTAAAACAGCAACACATTCGCTGAGAAATTGCTAAAAAAAAAAAAAATAACAATAATTTGACCGTTGAAGGTTTGAAATAGGTATACAATAAGAAATTAAAAAATTTTATCTCCCAATTTACATAAAATGCTATAAGTAGTCAGTTAATTTCCAAGTTGGCTATGTAAAGTGTGTGTAAAGTTTTTCAGCCTTATGTGTACAATGATAAAATGGATGACACTATTGCTATGCTATTGCTAGAACTTGGCTTAGCTATGCCAAAGACCGTTTTCCTAGTCTGTCTGATCTTGAAATAAACTTAAAAATTATTTACGACTGTTATTTATACGTTTTTATTTTGTGTGTTTAATGTATTCGTTGTATTAGTTTTAAACTTATTTGTTAACAATATTGCAGGATGGATGATAGGCATACGCCGTTTTATTCCAAGTTTAATGTTGTTTACTAGTAATCGACTGAATAGCAGTAACAGTTGGGACGAATATCGTTAAATGAATTTAAAAAATAAGGATAAATAGTAAGTAATAAGTAGGTAGGTAGTTCATAGCTCTTGTTGAAGTCCCTTACATTTAGAGTAGTTTTGGCGTTAGTTGAATGGAATAGTCAACTAAACACACACTTAGACCATTATTGCTACTGTTTATTATTTTGATTTCTAACTGGTATAGTTGTATCTTAAACATATTATATTTGTTTTAATCCAATGTTTTGTCTGATTTTATCATTTTTACGTTGCCCTTGAAAGAGTGTAATAAATTAAATGAATAAATGCTAGAAACCATCTAGAAGCTGTGCCTGGAGGCGTTCAACGAATTTGCGCCTATGAATGTAACGAGAACAAAAGACTAGATGCGTCACCGGTGCGGCGAGGATGTGCGCCTCACCCGGCTTCCCCGTCCGGACGCGCCTAGCCGTCGGTGCGGCGTACCTACGCACACCCGGCCGCCGCAGCCGGTAACGGTGGCACGCCGGACAGAGGGCCCGCGGTAAACACAAAACATCTGACGCGGGTCAGCTGTTACCGACGCCGCCGCCGCCGCCGCCAGCGCACGTTTGGCGTTCCTATCGCTACGGTGGCCGTCGTCAGTCAGTAACGTTGGTTCAGCATATCGGTACGCGCAGTTCAACCGCAGTGCGCGCGCGCGTCCGTTTATCATTCCGGCAGTAACGTCGCTACTACCTATTTGTGTAATAATAATAATAATAGTAATTATTATCATTCGGGAGTAAACTGCGTCTCGCCTCCGTGATAAGCGGTATTGTTTCTGTGTGCGGATAGCGTGCGGTTTCAAATGTCTTGACTGGACGTCGTTTCGCGTTAAGAGACCCCTTTTGGGTTATCGGTTTAGAATATCATAACACAGTAGGTAGGTAGGTGTTGTAATTTTGTACAGGTATATTGTCGGAAAACAAGCGCACCGCAAAATGCCCACCGTCATATCGAAATTCCTGGACGGCCGCATCAAACGCGAACACTACAGCAAGGGCGTGCTGGCCGTGGCCGTGCTGCTGTACGGCTGCAAACTCGGCTATCCAATCGTACTGAAGGTATGCAACGGCGGCGCCAGTGGCGGCGCTAAGCCGTCGGCGGATCCCTGCGACAACAACAACACCAAGGGACTGCCGCAACAACCGGCGGACGTCACCGCGGCCACGACGACCGCGCCGGCGGCGGCCGTGGCCACCGGCAAGCGTAAAAAGCTCAGGGTGGCCGCCGGGCCCAGCATCAACCGCGAGTTTCTGATGCAGCTCAGGAAGCTCATCCGGCTGATGGTGCCCGGCTTTTGGACGCCCGAGGTGGGCCTGTTGGCCATGCACACGCTGGCGCTCGTCTGCCGGACGTTCATGTCCATTTTCGTGGCCACCATGGAGGGCAAAATGGTCAAGTACATCGTGCGCCGGGACGTGCACAACTTCGGGCTGATGCTGCTCAAGTGGCTGCTGTGCGCGCTGCCGGCCACCTTCCTCAACTCCATGATTCGTTACTTGGAGTGCAAACTGGCTTTGGCTTTCCGGTAAGTCGGGATTTTCCCGAACAGATTTCACACCATACTTGACTCTATAAATGTTTGATTTAAATTAAATTCAACTAAATTTGTAAAATATACAATGAATAGCGATTATATTATATTTAGATGGGTTGGCTAGAATAGTTTTAAAAAAAAGCTTTTTATAGTGAAAAGCAATCTTTTTCATTCCATGTGAACCATTTATCATCTATCCAACACTGAATGAAAACCGGTCTTGAAATTACCCAATCAGGCCCATTGAAAGCCAACTCTAGTTTCTGACAAAAATAAGTTTGATTGAAAAAGCAAAAGGGATTCGTTGCCAGTTTTTGAATTGTCTCGGTTTTTGGCGGGAAATATTATCACAAACCAAACCGTTTTGGATATCTTTCATAGGTCTGTTTTGTTAGAATAAATGATTATCACCGTTTAACTTGTCATTGCAATTGTGTTTGTTTTCTTATAAAAAAAAAAGTATCAGCTGTTATTTCGATTGGCAAGTAAACAAAACACAATTACACACAAAACCATGCGATAAATATGCAATATTTGTTTTTTTATTATCTTGTCACGGTTAAAACCACTTGTTGCCAAGCGAAACATTTAGATTAAAAAAAAACAACAAATGGAAAACCTAAAATTTAAATACCTCCAAAAAAAAAAAAAATGATTATAATTTAATTACAAGGTTCAAAATGCTTCAGAGCTATCAAAGGCCATCGCCTGACTGACCGGAAACGATTGAATCATTATTCTACATATTATTCAATTCACTGGAACACCTCGAAAACTGGTTTTTACACCACAGTATGTAACACCGGTGTTACTCTGTACAACAAGTAGTATTATAGTTACCCTTCAGTCTTGTGAAAAAAAAAATTGTTTTTTGGTTGTCTTTAAAATACAATTATTGTTATTGAAATCATCTGAGTCCACAAGCTATGCAGATTATTCTGTATAATAAAAAAAACTATGAAACCCAAGTCTTTCCGGATCGAGCAAAACAGGAAAAATTGAATTGTTTTGAAGGCTAAGTGCTGTGTTCTAGGAAATATGTATCATTAAGATCTTAAAAGTCATAAAACAGCAGCTTCAGAGAAAGCTGTATAAACGGATATTAATTTACTCTATTCGGAGGAGTTATAGCTCAGGGTAAGTTGGGTGGAAGTGGGTGGTTTTCCCTAATAGAACTAATAGAATTTTCCATATTCCAGTTTATCGAAGGTTCTAATCAATCATCGGCATAGGGTTAGGTGGGGGAAACAAGCAAGTTGTAAACGAGCAAGTAGGTTATTGAGCGGTTAAAAATTTCACGGATCCACGCACCCCAAAAAAGAACCACATCATTATAAATCACTCTCTAAACTCGGCGTTGAAGATAAATAATTTGCACAACCGACAGATACTTTTATATGATTTGAGGTTTCCAAAAAAAAAAATACCTTCTGTCAATTCGTTAAACTGTTGGAAAAGAGTTTTGTATGATTTTTCAAGGCGCAAGTCATTTTGATTAAAAGTCCAGATAGTGTGAGTGACTCTGCCGGTCCAAAAGTAACCTATATTTTAGTTGAAAAGTAATTAAAGACAATGATTTGCAATTGTCATGTTTGATGGCATAACCATCGCTTTAGATCAACCAGAGTGATTCGACGGTTTTCGAAATCCTCTTCTTTGCAAACATAAGCAAACTGTTAATTATTAAGAATTGGCGAACCAGACCAGAATGGCTATTGCTTCGATCTCGACAGATTTCAGTCTTCAATTGTCGCATCATGTGAACTATTGGTGCGTTTGGCGATTGCATTTTGACCGGACTTGGCTCTCTCCAAAACTAGATCTGATAAAGATCTGCACATGATCTGTATATGAAAACGTCTGCCGATGATGTCACAGCCCCGACACGATCCATTGAATCGATCACTTGTCAGTCAGACGGCCGAGTACTTGCTAGTAGCTTATGTAATAACAAATGATCATTCTGATGATGACGAGACGCTACCGTGTGTAGTTCTTATGAAAAATCACTGTTCGTTTAGTCGCTTTAAATCTCAGTCAAATCCATTCCCTTGCAATAAACATCTACGATGCCATACTGCAAACGACTTCGCATATTGGCAAATTGGACTCGTCATTTTGTCTCTCAAACGTCTTGGCAGTAGCTCCCAGACAATAACAACGATTAGCCGTGGAAATCTTGTACTCGACGGTCATCTATTTGTTGGCATCTGATCCAGTGCAGTAAATATGAACCATCCGGGTTTGTATGCGGTCGTCACTGATTTTGCGAGGTTCGCATATAAGAAGACCAAGAGAATTTTAGGAAAATTCCATTCCGTTCGTATGGCACATTTGGAATGAAACTTTCTATTGTGGTCTGGGCGTTGCGCAACACCTCGACTTAAAGGAAAACGACATGTCTACCGACATCATCAATTATTGTGGTTGTATTACAACAATAATGAGAATTGGTGAATATTTATCAAACGAAATTCAGCAACGCTGACAAGTGGCACAATCCAACCGTCCGAGGTTCGGGGTTAAGGAAATATAATAATAATTGCGATTATTGCATTCGTGTGTGGAATAAAACATGTGTACACTCTGGGCGAGAGCTGTGTTATTGCTCCTGGCCGTTAACATATAAACACACACACGGTATTTTAGAACGTCACGATAACGTGATCGACGACCGACGATCATCGTCAATGTATTAATTTATCGTGTACAAATCAATATGGATCCCCATCGAGCGTTTGGATTTTGATCGACCGTCATTTGAAATCACTGATTTCTGTTATGTGTGTGTGTGTGTTAACGACTGGACAAATTAAAATTTGTTCGCCGGCACGTTTATAAACGTGTAAACAACAATAATAATTAATATTAACCATAAGGATAATAACATTATTAGCCGTGTTGTTATTAGTCACGTAACCGATTAGAATCCGCGTTTGGCCTCTTCCTATATCTTTTTCTAACTTAAAGTGGTTTTCCTCTATTTCTCACCGACCCTCGCGAGTTCCAGTTATACATGATGTCACAGCTCTACATCAATTGTATTCCATGGCGTGTGCACGCAACTTGTGTGAAAACCATAACCCAAGACCGTGGTGACGGATTTGTTTGGCGGGCAGGCATGTACAAAATTTTGTAATTGCGGTGTATGTAGTTCGAAACCATACTTGTGTTATATGTTTGTTTACATATTATTGTCACACCGCTTTGCGGGTCAAACTACCAGTTTGTCCTGAAATTATTATCTGGATTCTGGATGAGTTATAGTTCTGGTTATACGGGTTATTTCCGTTAATACGGTCGAGCCGAAGATGTGTTTTCCTGTAATTGATAGCCAAGTGAGTCTTCGTTAATTTTCCGGTCTTAACGGTTGTTCGGTTTGTACCGCGTTTACGTGCTACATTCTAGATCTATCGATCCAAATCCCTTTTGTACTCTCTGGTAACTGGGGCGCCATTATTACTATGCAGTATCCTTCCTTTGTTCCCACGGTTCACTACGATTGAAAGTCCATCCCTTCACCTCAACAGTGGCGTAGACAGGAATTTTTTATGGGGGGGGGGGGGTTCACGGTTGGAAAAAAGAACTCATTAAATTTGTTTCACTTATAACAAAATTTGTATTTTTGTTGGCTTACTTGCTAATTCATCCAATACTTTTTCAGGCATTGCAAAAAAAAAAAACACTGAGTTTATTTCACTTTTTAACACTTATAAGTTATAACAAAATGTCTATTTTTCTTGGCTTTTTGGCAAATTCATCTCGATAATAGCTCAGAAGAACTAAGCCATTTAGACCGATCCTGTTTAAAATAAGTTAGATGATTAAAATACAATTAAAAATTGTATATGATTACATAGTATTTCTAAGGTATGTTTTTACTCTTTTTGAATAATTGTAAATTTGATATTGTTAACTGACATGTGATAACAACTAACGGTATTATAAAATTTAAGTATTAAGCTAAATCAAGTGTAAGTTGAACCCCCTAACCCCCCCCCCCCCCGTGTCTACGCCACTGCACCTCAACAAGAGTCCAAAGTGTTCGAACAAGAATTTGCACAACTCTATGAACAGTAAGCTTATGCTTGGCCGGACAGAGCCATTTTTAATGACCGTCTATAATTACCAAATGGTCTTAATAATAACTTGTTCGCTTATATAATAGAAAATAGGTATTTTGCGGTATAATACAATATTATTATAAAGACCCACGGCGTGATATAAACGATTATTATTTATTATTCATCCTTGACTTAAATATTTAGCTGCTGCACGCGATAGACTAGCGTTGCCATACATACATACATACATGCTATATAAAATCCCATTTTAAATGCGGTTGTATTTTAATTTTTTTTTTTTTTTAAATTAGTCCAATTTGACGGGCGCGTGTACACGGTATAGTAATATAATTTGTACTGCGTTGTTGTTATAATAAATTACAGGAGCAGAGCACAAAATTATCTGCGACATCAGCTCAAACAGAATATCATAACGTTTTAAATTATACTTGAAAAAAAAAAATTATATACAAAATACAACAAGGCGGTTACTTCGCAGTCACGTTGGCAATAAAATTAATAACATCACGTCGACATCGTTTTCTGTGTCGTACAGGTTGAATCATATTTTTTTTTTTTTTTTACTTTGGGCTGAAAAGAATAATTATCCTTAACAGTTACAACTACTCGTGCTGACCAGTTATTAATATTAACCTTCAGTGTATGCTATGATAACCGTGGCTATCGATAGCTTTAATCGCATACAAATCCAAAGCAAAAGCTCAACACTACTTAAAGATTGATAATTGTGGTATAAAAAACCAACGCCTTAGCTACTCAAGTGTCGCTGACTGTGCACCTTTTTACCTTATTGTTGTTGTGCCCTTGAACTTGTGTCTGAGCACACAACGCTTTATTTGCGTCCCAACCGAATCAGGAAACGATTAGATGTCGTTGAAATGAAAAAAAAAAGCAAAACAAATGTAA